GCTGCCTTGTGGCACAATTCCATGTGGGAATTGTTCCACAAAATCAGGTACCACAGAGCACTGGGGCAACCTGGCCAGGCTGTACCACACCTGTGAGGAGCCTGCCCTGGGAATCCTGCCCTGTGTTTGTGTGGCCATCTCAAAGCTTTGAGCTGACATTTGAGCCTGTTCCTGCAGCACTTCCCCACAGAGCTCTCAGACCAGAGCCCCTCTTCTCCAGCTCTGGGCACTCCAGGTGCTTGCAAAGCCTCCATCAGCACCATCCCAGAAACTGCTGGGGCCACCACATTTCCTGCAAAGCCCTGCTCTTCTCCAGCAACATGCTTCCAGCACAAGTGCTGCTCCAGCTGATTTCTCTTGCCCAAGGAGCTGGGCTGGGCTCACCCTCTGGCTGAGAGCTGGCAGTGATGCATCCAGGGAAGGATGCAGGAGCTGGAATCCCCACACAGCAGGGGGAGGAACACATGTGGGTGTGTCCTGCTGTGGTGTTGTGGTGTCACTGAAGCCATTTATCTGATCATTTGTGGGACCTTTTGCATTGTGGTGTTGTGTTGCAATTTTTGGTCTTCCGTGGCCTCTTGGGATTTTTCTTGGGCACAGATTTGAGGTCATGGGAATGGGATGACAGAAGGTGCCATGGGAGGAGGAATGTGGTGAGGAATGTGCCAGCCTCAGTGTCCTGGTGAGGCACCATAACAGGGACAGAAATGTCCCTTACTGAACAAAATCCCCCTTTTCTTCCTCAGGCAGCAAAATATTCAGCAGCAACAAAACTTTGGTTAAGTTTTGTGGAGAATATCCCAGAAGAAATGGAGAATTGAAATATCAGGTCCAGCCTACTTTGACAGCTCCCTTCCAACTCCTTTTGGAAATATTTGCTGTCTTACTGCTCATGTCTGTAGTGAAAATTAGAGCACTTCGTGGGCCCCAACATCTGCTCAGTGAGAGCTCATTAAAAGTCCTGGCCACTGTAACCAGCTATTGCTCTATCATTTTTATCAATAGCAAATGTAAACTCTCATAGGAAAATGTTTTTTTTTTTTAGTTAATATCTACCATCATGAAGCTGATTTTGCTAAGCAGCTTTGGCACTAAGAACCAGCAACAGCTAATAAATTCAATGTTAGGCTTATGAGGTTCTGACAGATTGCTGGCAGCTGCCTTAAATGCAGGAAAAAGCTCTCCTAGTGTGGGTTGGAAATGCTTATTTATACCATACTGTGGGTCTGTTTGCCCCAAATTTTGCTGCCTCCTTTTAGTAGATGTCATTGGTGAGATATATGACAAGGGTACAATAACTGATCAGAGATACATTTTCCAGCTACACCAGAGATCAGCACTAAAGCATAAAGATAGGAAGCTTGGCCATAAACTATTAGATTTTTACTGTAAGAATTTTCATTTATGAATGCAAGGTTTGTCGTAAGGATGTGACTAGACCTCATCATGGATGGTTTTATTTACTGTGAGTTCTATGATAGTTCTATTTCTATATCAGAGGGTTTTAAATAATCTGCAGGAGTTTAACACCACCTTGCTGTTAATTGGAGGTGGACCCAGGCAAAGATGGGCTGTGCAACTACACTGAGTGTGCTCTTAACATGTCTTAAAAGTTGTGTCTTAAAAGTGAAATATGATGTGCTCAGAAGAAGGCTTGGGCTTCAGGAGCCTCTGTTTAGCTTTGAAGTTGGTCAGACAGGGATCCTCTTTGCACCAGGAAAAAAGGAAAACTTTGGGAAACCTGAGTGCTCAGCAGCAGTAATGGAGCTTGTATTGCAGAGACATTTCAGATAAACAACCACTTTTTGGTGGTAAGTGATGCTAAGAATATGTACAGCAAGTGAATAAGCTGCAGTCTCATTGTGAAGCTAAGTTTAGTCCCAAATTTTCCAGTTACACAATTGCCTGTGAAAACCACAATGTTTGAACTGAACCCAAATTTGCTATTTGCTGTATTTCATCCTTTCTCATTGACTTGAACTGGCTGGAACTGAGTAGTTGATAAGCCTCTGCTCATTAAAGTCAATGCTGAGTGAGGGGATGAAGAAATTGAAGGAATGGGAAGTTCCTTCTAACTGGAAAAGAGCAGATTAAGTCAAGACATTAAAGAATTGTTCAGTGAAGGTAAATCAGGCATCAATTTTCTCTTCACATGTGGTGAAAGTAGCTCTGGAGAATACAAGACTGATGGTGAAAATTCCAGATTAACCATGTTGCAGTGTCCAACTTGATGTACAGTTGTGAGATTTATCCTGGTTTTGTTTATGGGTCTGATGGTCAGCACTTTCCATCTCTGACAAAACATTGTTCTCTCTTTCTGTCAATATGCCTTACAACTCCATGGAAAGTCTTCTGAAATAGATAGAATTTTCTTTATAACACTACACAGAAAGAGCCTTCCTTCCTCAAAAAAGAAAAATAGAATAATCTAGAAATATACACTGACATCATGCAGCAACTCTAAAATTCTCCTGGAAAAAATATTGCTGACAGCATTTCACACAGCCAAAAGAAATCCTGAAAGTAAAACACTAAATGCTGTTTTGGAAAGTGTGTGGGTGATGCCACCAAGCATTCTGCACCATAATGAAGTTCCAGAGAAAGGGGATAACGCAGAAAACCACCCCACTGCCTTTAGAGCGGGCACCTTGTGCTTGCTCTGTCTGTCTGCTGGAGGGGCTCGCTGTGCCCACAGCCCTGGTGATGGAAGGCAGCAAGTGTGGGAGTCCAGGGCTTCCCTCTGGCTGCCCTGGCAGGTCTGGGACCCTGGCAGGGGTCAGGAACCCCCCTGGACAGAG